TTTCTACGTGACTTTACCGAAAGAACCAACAAGTCATCCCTGCAGTCACGAAAGCTTCAAATCACGAGCAACGCCTTGTCGTGGGAGGTCAAGTGGTTGTCCTACGGATAGACGTCACCGCGCCATGGGAATGTGGAATTTACACAACTGTTTCAGAGCTCGAAACAGTTGGGCAGCATCTCAATGCTCATCTTGAGCCATAAACGCAATAACTTCTTTTTGTTAAACGTAAGGGTTTGATTTTAAAATTTTGTACTTGGGGCATGGGGTGGGGTGAGTGATTGGAGGCTTAGTGGTTATGTATATTAGGAGTATGTAGTCGTTTAGGGTTCATCGTTGGGTGCTTGTTGTGGTTCTGGGCTCATGTGTTAGTAGTTTCAAGTTTGGGGACTCGAGCTGGTAGTTAGGATTAAGGTCAAGGGCTGTCTCGGCCGTTTCCCTAGCGCAGGGGTCGGCAACCTACGGCTCCGGAGCCGCATGCGGCTCTTTACGGGCTGCTTCTTGACGATATGTACGTGAGTACAGTATGTACTCAGATGCATTGCGGCTCTTGAAATACTGAATTTTGTACCGAATTGTAAAGAAATGGCTCTTCTTGTTATTTTGGTTGCCGACCCCTGCCCTAGCGTTTTGAGATGGGGGTTGCATTTAGACGCTTATACGGTAAAAATACAACCACGTTTTGCCTTTTGTGAAGTCTCCATCCCTGAAGATTTCTTGGTGAACCAATTACATCATATTCTCACACGAATCAATCAACTCGTGTATGCACGATGTAATCTCAATCGTAATGTTTTAATTGGTGAATCGATGCATCGACACTTGCCTAATCCAGCACCTGACACTTTTAGGAAATGTATTTCCCTTTATCCGGTCACTCAATTGTTCAGTCGCTTATTGCTACTACCTTAGCTACTATGACGGATCTCTGTACCCATTAAGTTCCAACATTTTAATTCATGAGTGTTTACCTTCCCAGTTGGCCCTAACCACTCTGAAACTATTCTCCGACATATTCCGACTTCCTGGTTTCTGACCTGAATGTGCTTGATGCAGTTTCCAGCGAAACGTCACGTATCCAATTTCCAAATCTGGCAGCGAGATTTGTCCTCCCGCTCACTGGCGTGCAGGGAAGCAATCGAAATTGGCGAATTGTTAAACTCCTGTACACCACGTGACATTTTTTATTTGCTTTGAATTGTCGAGTGGTGGAGGGCTCCACACCAAAATCACGGCCAGATCGTCACGTGTCAAACCCCAAAAATCAATTATGAATCACCTGGGCTTCATCCCTTGACGTTATTGTTCCTGGGCCTTCTCCCCGTGTCGCTCTCAATTCCCATGTTCCCCCTGCCCCGTTTCACCACCTTCCCCGATGGTGTCCCTTCACTCGCGTAACGCGTGTTGAGATGCGGACGCATACATATTTTAGACGCGAGAGATTTAAATTTAAAACAATCGGCTTTTCCCAGCCAATGTTACGATTCTTAAATAAAACATTTATTAGTCAGGCCACGTAACGATCTGGCCACGATTTTTTTTTGTCATGATACCCTTCACCGCCCCGACGAAGCCAAATAAATCTAACTTGCATGGGTACAAGCGTTTAACACGCCGATTATAAACATTTCAGCTAATCGCTAAATTTGCAAGAACCTTACCGAAAAAAAATAACAAATGCTGCGTCGTTGCACACTCGTGCACGCGAAAATTGAATGTTTGCCCAAGTTGGGTGGCGGAGGGTTACACGACACATTTGGCCATATCATTAGGCGACCGAACCCACATTATGAATGTCAACGTTGCTGTTGCTCCTGTCGGCGTCGCCGGGCACCGCTGGCGTACGGGCGTGTGGCACCATGCACGCGGTTCATCTGTAAAACGTTTATTCTTAATTTATTTTGCAGGCAGTGCCGAACCATACATTTTTTACAAAATCCTCATCGTCGTCCAAAGGTGTTCGCCTCTTTCCCAGCCCCATCGCACCGCGGTCCCGCCAGCCCGCACAGACTCTCTCATTGCAACACCCCCTCCCACCCCCCCCAACATTAGAGCTTTCACATTATAACTTAAGTCTCTCTACATTCACGTAATATACAGTATATATATGTATATGCCATTACGTTACGAGTGGTGAGCGCGGTGAGAAGGGGGTAGCGGACGGGTCGTTGTTTGAGTTGGGGAGGAGGGGGGGTCGTCGCTCAGAGCCAGGGGATGGCGAGGTTTACCACGTGGTTGGTGCGAGTCGGGTCCCCCCCCCCAACCACCGCCGGAACTCGTAGTACAGAGAAGCGCTTGCGGGAACGCAAGGAGTGCGGAGTAAGGGGGGTTCCGTCTACGGCGAGCGAACGAGAGAGGGGCACCGTCGATGATTCGGACGCAATGGCGGGCCGCCGCCAATGGAATCCAGCCACAGAACTTATCGAATCGAAATGAACGATGGGAAGGATGGGCCAACAGCTTGGGGGTGAGGCTCACCAGCTAATTAAAGACATGCTCGCCTTAACCAACCAGACACTAGTACTAGCCCTACCTCTGAACCTAGCCATCTAGCCAACCAGGCAATAGTATTCAACCTCTGGCTCACCTTAACTCTACCCCTAACCAATTCCCAGACACAACACGAGCATTACCCCTTCTCCTAACCAACCAAACACTAGCACCCGGCCTTCAATTCACGCCAACTCTCGCGATAACCCTCACCAACTATCCAACCAGGCACTCGTACAAGGCCTCACAATGAGCCTGACTTGAACCCGAATCAAATTAGCCGACCAGACACCAACCCTAGTCCTGACCCTAGCCTCACCCCCGTTGCTTCACCGGGTGCCTTGCTGACGTCGTGTTCACTTCTCTGCGTCGGCGATCTCGGCTTCACTCATCAGTTCCATCCTCTACCCGGGTCGTGTGCCGCCCCCGGGTAAAGCCACAACCGTAAAATTACGCTGCTTCAGAAGGTACAATTAAAACGCATTAGACGTTAACAGACGCAACACGTGAGTCTTGATTAAAGTGACGAAGGCGCCACTCGGATACGACTGGGAACTAAACACACACGCATTCGCAATAAACTTGTGTACACCTATCCACAGTTATGGTATTGTACAATAATATTTCAACACAAATATTTTCCAGTATTTTTAAAGTCCTACAAATCACGCAAAAATTGTTTTCCTTCCAGAGACTACCCTCCGTCAGACTATACAGAACGGTAACTTGTTTCGAGCTTAAATATAAATAGGCGTTTGTTATGGATTAATGTGCACGCCGGGCCGAGCTTGGTTGGGCTCCGCCAGCCGCACGAGGCACCGACACACCGAGACATCTCCGTGCCGCCCATTCTTCGGACACCGTCCAGAGACGGCTCGGAGACGATGCAGGACCGTAGCCAAACAAAAACCCGGACTGGATTCTCTACGGGGTGGCCGGCCACGCAGCCACAGGGCACCATGCAAGTTGCGGCACGGCTCTCGCGCTGCACGGGAGCAAGGGGGTGGGGGGGTTGTGGGGAGAGGAGGTGGTGGTAGTGGGGAGAGGTGTGGATGGGGGCAGCGGCTGAGCGGAGGTATCATGCAGCAAGGAGTGTGCAGAGGCGGGAGGGAGGGGAGGGGTGGGTGTGGGTGGGGAGCAGCACAGAGACCGCAGTTGTGCGTGGGATCGTCGTGGTGCAATGTCGCGTGAGTCCGAGACAGCGCGCGCCGGGGCCACGACGACGGGCTGCAGCGGAGGGCCACGAGAACCCTGCCACAGCCGGCATGGAGACGACGACGGGGGGGCACCGGTGCGGAGGTCGCGGGTGACATGCGGTTGCGGACCTCGGCCACGGTCGCGATCACGAGCGGCCGGTGTCGCAGCGCTGGGCTCGTGTCTCTTGCGGGAATGTGGTTTGACGTTTCTCCTGCTGAGCCGCGGGTGCGTATAGAGGCGACCAAGATCTACAATCAAATCGGCCCCAACGTTTGAGTCGACTGAAGGACAGGCACGAGCGGGTGAGGGAGGGAGTGATAAAATGGCCGATCTCGAGACACCAGACACACGGGGCAGCGTTGAGATGAACGCGTCGAGACAGAGACACTGCTCCTGCACACTGCAGCGCCAGGCTGCAGGAGACGGCGTTGAGAGATAGTAGTGGGGACTGCACGGAGAGTGGAGAAGCAGTGGGAGGCAGCAGAAGTGATAGCAGCGGTGATATCATCGACAGCGGGAGAGACTGGCAGAGCGCAGCAGTGATATCGACAGTGGGAGAGAGCGGTAGTGACAGAGAAGGAGAGACAGTGGGAGGGAGCACAGCAGTGATGGGACTGATAATCGGGATGAGCAGCGGGAGACACCATTAACAGTGGTAGTGATAGCATCGGTGATATCATCGACGGGCCGGAGAGACTGGGCCAGAGCGCAGGAGTGATATCCCTGAAAGTGGGAGAATCAGGGGGGAGAGACAGCATCGATGGCTGAAGTGATAGCAGGAACAGCAGCATTGACACGGAGAGGAGAAGCAGCGTCAGAGGGACGGCGGGTGTGTTCGTGGCGTCGTGAAGAGAGGGGAGCCGAGCGCGGGCGAGGCGAGTGGCCGATCACTCGGCACAGCGCAGGACTCTCTCCTCCTCTTCCTCCTCCTTCTCTTCCTCCTCCCAGACACGAACGACCACGGTGTCCCCGCAGCTTCTCGCACACGGGGAGGCAGAAGGGGGCACACACGGGGCACCTCCCCCTCCCCTCCCTATCTGCATCCCACCACCTTCCCCATGCCCAGTGTCCTCCCACGCGCGCTTCCGGTTCCTAACGCAAGAGGAACAACGCACGCGCACACACACACCTCGTCACAACTTGACGAGCACGTGGGGGCCTTGTAGAGGCTCTCAGAATAAAACAGTGATTTCCCTATTCTTAGGTTTTTTCGGTAAAGTCACGTAGGTAAAACATTTAAATTAATAAAAGTAAAATGAAAATAAAATAAAAATCACGACGTTTCGGAGGCAACACAAGCTTCCGTCTTCAGGTGGAACCGTCACAGCACGATAGCTGTATCAAGTACTTACCGGTGTGCACGTGCGATGCATTTTCGGTGTGTGTGCGAGTGAGCGAGTGTGTGGGTGGGCGAGTGTGTGGGTGGGCGAGTGTGTGGGTGGGCGAGTGTGTGGGTGGGCGAGTGTGTGGGCGAGCGAGTGTGTGGGCGAGCGAGTGTGTGGGCGAGCGAGTGTGTGGGCGAGCGAGTGTGTGGGCGAGCGAGTGTGTGGGCGAGCGAGTGTGTGGGCGAGCGAGTGTGAGCGAGCGAGTGTGTGGGCGAGCGAGTGTGTGGGCGAGCGAGTGTGAGCGAGCGAGTGTGTGGGCGAGCGAGTGTGTGGGCGAGCGAGTGTGTGGGCGAGCGAGTGTGTGGGCGAGCGAGTGTGAGCGAGCGAGTGTGTGGGCGAGCGAGTGTGTGGGCGACCGAGTGTGTGGGTGAGCGAGTGTGTGGGCGAGCGAGGGCTTCACCGGTGTGCGCGAGCGGGTGAGTGCGGCGTGCCCGCCGGGCCACTATCCGGCGCGGGCCTGCAGCTCGTTGAGCCGCGCGCAGCTGGGCGTCGCCATGTTCTGCGCCTTGTGGTAGAGCGTGCTGTCTCCGAAGTAGCGCGCCCTGTAGATCATGTTCTCCTCTGGTCCGGCACACGGCGCATGGTACACACGGCAAAGGCGCGGCCGTTTAGCGCGACGACAGAAAAAAGCGTGCGTTACGCCGCGCTCTCGGCGCGTTCGGAAGCCCAACAGCAAGCGGCGGCGGCGATGGTGAGGCTCGGACCGCGGGTCGCATCGTGACTGCCCACAGCGATTCGGCCTCGTGATGCCACGTGAGCACCGGCTACGGTACGATTCGAGAGGCGATGGATGCCCTGTCGTCTGGTTTCCACCGTCCCCATTTGTGTTGTTGTTTGGGATTACCCACCCCGACCGTTGGCCCCTCTCCTGGCGGACGTGCAGGCTGGTGCCGGGTTACCTTGTGCCGTAGCACAGGGGCAGCTGCCGCTCGGGGTCCCCCCCCCCCCCCTTCAAATGGTTGAGATGAGGTACGAGGTGCTTACTCAAGCACCGCTCTATACATGCAAAGACGAGCATTGTTGTTGTTTCCACAAAGTCTTAATTGTGTAGTCTTCTTCGCTCAGCGTTTTGCGCATAACCGCTGGGAATGCGGCAGCTCGAGGGGTGAGGGTTTAGATCAAAGTGGGGGGGGGGGGGGTGAGGTGTCGGTGAGGGAGGATCTTGGGAGTGGGGGGGGGTTTGGATCTCGGGAGGGGTGAAGGTGTAGCCCGGGGGGGGGGGGGGGGGTGAGGGAAGATCACGGGGGGAGGGGGGGTGAGGATGGAACACAGGGGGGTGAGGAAATGGGGGGAGGGTAAGGGGGGAATTCGGTGGGGGTGGAGCTCACTCTGTTGTCGCTCCTTCCAGCAGTTGTTGCGAAGGTTGGCGACGTAGTCGTCCTCCACGCTGCGCTCCACACGCTCCAGGCCCTGCCCCTTGTAGTCTCGCTCAAAGTCCTTGTCTACGTAGTAGGGCACGCCCAGCTGCATGGTGTGCCGCGCAATCGTGTGGCCCAGGCCCCTGCAGTGACGTGCGCAGCGGTGACACACGGTGGAGACTCACGGTCACAAACACAGCAGTGACACACGGTAGGCAGTGACAGCGACACGCACAGCGGTGACACGCACAGCAGTGAAACAGTGACTCCCGGTGACAAACACAGCAGTGACACACAGTAGTGACACACAACAGTAACACGCAGTGCAGTGATACACGGTGCAACACAGTACCCATTGACAGTGACATAGTAACACAGTACAAAGGGAGGGATACACATTGATACAGGGACACATTGACACTTCGAGCTGGGACAAAGATTAGTGATTCACAAAATAGTCACACAGAACAGTGACAAGAATCAGCGATAAGCTCATTCACTTACACACACGGGCAGTAGCTAAGGCTGTAGGGCGGGTTGTGAATTATTTGTGTGAGCGAGTCGGTGAGCAGGTAATCGGATGAACAGGCGAGCGAATGGGTGAGCGAGTGGGTGAGTGAGCGAGCAAGTCGACACAAGGGTCGTAGTTGAGGCTACAGCGCACGATTGTAAATGATTTGCGTCATTCGGTGAGCGGGAAAGTGAGTGAATGAGCCAGTGGGTGGGCGAGTGGGTGGGTGGACTTACGGGCGATAGCTGAAGCCGTAGGGCAGATTATTAATGCTCTGTGCGAGTCATGAGCAGGTGAGTGAGTGAACGGGTGAGTGGGTGGGTGGGTGAGTGAGCGGGTAGACAACGGTAGTAGCTGAGGCTGCAACGCAGGTTGTGAATGGTTTGTGAGTGAGTTGGTGAGTGGGTGAGTGAGTGAATGAGCGAGCGGGCGAGTGGACTCACGGCCGGTAGCTGAGGCTGTAGGGCGGGTTGGACACCATGAGCTGGCTGATGATGGATACGATCACCAGGATAAAGATGGGCAGCAGCTGTACGAACATCGTGAACCCACCCTGCTGAGACAGCGAGGAAACCGCGCCGGAACTCATCACACGTGGTAACACGGATAGATCCTCTCAAAGGGGCGGAGGAGGACGACGACGACGATGACTCCACCAAAAGCCGCCACTCAAAGCAATTCGTATTTATCATCTGAATGTAACTGCACAGTAAAACCTCTCGGAAATGGACTCGATGAAGCCAGAATATGGGATAATCCAGGAAAGGACACCAAAATAAATCAACACCAGCTTCGTGTTCATGTGCTAATAAACACTTTAATTCTAGATTTGAAGCTTTCGTGACTGCAAGGATTCATACTCTTAGGTTTTTTCGGTAAAGTCAGATAGGTCAAAAATATAATTAAAATTAATAAAAGTAATAAAAATAAAATAATAAATCACGACGTTTCGGAGGCAACACAAGCTTCCGTCTTCAGGTGGAACAGTCACAGCACGATTGCTGTATCAAGTAAAGAATTTAAAGAGAGAGACTTTACTTGATACAGCAATCGTGCTGTGACTGTTCCGCCTGAAGACGGAAGCTTGTGTTGCCTCCGAAACTTCGTGATTTATTATTTTATTTTAATTACTTTTATTAATTTTATTTTATTTTAATTTTTACCTACGTGACTTTATCGAAAAAACCTAGAGTATAATTAACACTTTCCCATTCTGAGATCTCTGCCAGTTGCAGGCTGCATAGCGGCGTTGTTTTTAAAGACATTGTTCTCACCACAGAGAACCACAGCGATACGACCACACTCTATGACAGCTGGCGCCAAACTGTGCCACGCCCTCCCGCATGGCCTTGTGGAAGCCTCGGTACCGAGAGAAGTTATTTTAACTTCGGTGTTCTTTCGGTTTCGTCTTGATGATGGGCCTCCCCTACGTCGGCAAAGCCCTAAATGAATGCCTGGGGCAGTGCGTGAAACATCGTCACAAAGGTGGCCAGGCATGGTACTGAGCTCCCACCCCCCCTCGTGTGCCACGTTGGCCTTCACAGGTGCTCGCTAACAGCACTTGCCCCGACAGTCTGATAAGGCTAGAGGGGGAATCTCTGCCTGTGTGTGAGTGTGTGTGCGTGCAAAGTCCTCACATCGCCGTGCTGGTGGTCTGGCCGAGTGTTGCGCTGCTGGTGGTATGTGTAGCGCGCCTGCCCGTTGCTGTACACATGCACATTGGCTGCAACACACACACAAAGCATGCACCGCGTTTCATCATCATCAACAATGTCATTAGGTTCAGAGCTTTAAATCTTTACATTTATTTGTTTAAAGACTCAAAGACACTAGGAGGGGAGTAGCATTTGCCAAGAGTGACCTGGGTCATCAAAATGACAGAAATAAAGTAAAGCATTTGAGCAAATAGCAATCGGTGCAAAAACAATTGCATCACGTGAGAAATTGAACATATGGTACAAACACGAATCAATGCTAAATAAATTTGCTGTAGCGCGTGTCAGCATGTGTTACCGTGTCCCCGTGTATGTATGTTGAACTTCTTTCGCACTGCACGTAGCCAACCGTGCTAATCGGAGGTGCGGATCCCATGTCCCCGTGTCCCCATTGCGCCGTGTCCCCATGGCGCCGTGTCCCCATGTCCCAGTGTCCCTATATCGCCGTGTCCCTATATCTGCGTGTCCCCGTGACCCGTGTCTCGGTGTCCCCGTATCCCCTGCTCACAGCTGGGGAAGCCGCCCCCAAAGAACATGTTGAAGAGGTCCTCGGGGGAGATGTCGGCCTCAAAATCGCGGGAGTGCTCGTGCGCCGAGCGCCGGCCCCGTGGCGCCGCCGCCTGCTCGTCACCGTACTGGTCGTAGCGCCGCCGCTTCTCGGGGTTACTCAGCACCGCGTACGCGTTTCCTATGCCTGTATGGTCACATCATCATCAGAGCCACCACATTGTCATCGTGATCATTGCCGTCATAGCCATGAACATCGTTATGAAAAATCATGAGCATCATAACAATTGCCGATGACACCGATGATCACACAGACCCTCTCGCACGCACTTACACCACACACACAGAGGGTTCAGTGAGCGACCAAGCATGCAAGTTAACGGACGAGTGAGTGAGGGAGGGAGGGAGGGAGCGAGCAAGCTATTGAATGAGTGATTGAGCGATCGAGTGATTGAGTGAGCGGGTGGGTGAGTGGGTGTTTGAGCAGGTAGGTGAGTGAGCGAGCAGCGAATGAGCGACTAGAACAAGTGAGCGGGTGAGCATGTGAGCGAGTGAGTGGGTGGGTGGGAGTCTCCTCACCCTTGAAGGCCTCGGTGGCGCCGGGAGCATGGTTCTTGTCTGGGTGGAACTTGAGTGCCAGCTTGCGGTAAGACTTCTTCAGCTCCTCCTCCTGCGCATCTTTGGCCACACCCAGGATCTCGTAGTAATCCTTGCAGCGCTTTATCCTTCAGGGGCAAGAGGAGGCGGAGATCACGATGGGAGGGAGGGAGGGAGGAGAGGGAGGGGGGGAGGGAGGGGAGGGAGGGGAAGGAGGGAGGGGGATGGGAGGAGAGGGACCATCTCTGCTGGCACCAGGCACAATGCCAGTCGCCAGGAACATGTACACTCTGACCTCACGTAATAAGAAAATAAAACCCATTTGGAACTCTGACAGTGAGCAGTGCATCACCCTGAGTGTGAGAGTGACCTGCTGAAGGGGACACTCCATTAATTTCCAGTGACCTATTTACCAAAATTAAACACATTATTTGAAGCTGCTGCATCGGCAGTGGTGCAAGGGCACAATTAACAAAATATAACTCAACACGTTCATCAGTGACACTGCGTGGCCTTGACAGGAACAATAAACAATCGGCGACGTTTTGGGCAGTGGCCCTTCTTAAAGTGCAGTCTGCACTGTACACCACTGTGTAAAGTGCAGTATCCCAGCTCGTATCCACTCCTCTGGCCTCTCTATTTAGGCTCTTTTTCCAGACTCGGGCTTCTGCACTTTCCCAGACGCCCTGCTGTCACGATGTTTGCAGCATGGCAGTCAAATCGGATGTTTTATTCTCTGGGTGGGAAGTTTGCCAAATAGGTGACAAACCGGAATTTATACGATAGGGTTTTTTTTTCCTGTAGCGTGCAGTCATTGACTTATATAAGAACACGAACTCCCAACACTTGAGAACCCGGTTTAGTCACGGGCGGCTGAAACTGAGGATCTCAGCAGTGTTGGCCAAGTGCTCTGAACCCTGAGCCACCCGGCCTCACTAGAATCGCCACGACTGTCTGGAACTCGATTCCTCCAGCCACCTGTGCCGTTGACTCCCTAACCCCTAATCAAGTCCAGGCTCAATACTTTTCTGTATTGCCCTCTGCCTATGATTGCCTGCCTCTCGCTTTCAAATAACTATGCCCGCTCCTTCTATACGGCATATTCATATGGGATTGTATATAAATCCAAACTGTATTTACCCGCACAGAGACCCACAAATTGTATGTATGCATCTTCTTGGTTCTTTCGGTAAAGTCACGTAGAAAGGAAATAATAAAATAATAACAGACGCTGTCTTTCCGACAGACCTGTTCTTCACCTGAGGACGGCTGCTTGCGTTGTGGCCGAAACGTCGTGAAAATTGTATTTTTTATTATCCTATTAGTTCCCTTCTACGTGACTTTACCGAAAAAACCAAGAAGATGAATCCCTGCAGTCACAAAAGCTTTAAATCGAAATGTATGCATGTTGAATTTATTTCACGTAGCCGACCGTGCACATGGGAGTGGTGGTGCTGGAGACCACGGCAGGCCCTCACCTCTTCACTGCCTCCACCTGCTCCTGAGTGTAGCTCTTGGCCGTCTCGGTGGAGCCGGCGGGCCCCTTAGCGTCGCCCGCTTCTGATCGACGGCGCATTTGCGGTGAGCCCGGCGCATCGGCCTGCCCGTTCTGTCCCGCGCTGCTCCCGTTGCGAGAGATTACGTCGATCAGGGCTGTGCAGGAGGGGGGGGGGGGAGTGCACGGGGATACATGGGCAACATCAGTCATCAGCGCCGAGCTCTGCCAATTGACCAACCAACCGGGCGGCTAATAAGCCGGCCGGTACAATTCCACGCCGAGTTCTCGCCGCATGTACTCCTCTACAGCCGATTTGGTTTGCACAACCGATTGCTCAGGTGTAAACCAGGCTGTAAAGAAAGACAACCTTAGTGATATATGCGAACCCTGTAATGACGCGCCGATTCACATCGAGTCTTACACCGACGATACTTAAATACAAGAACACGTGACATCTCGTCACCCGTGACCGATCCACTGCCAGATGAAGGCCTCCTCAAGTCGTTGCAATCTCACCAGGTCACGCGATGCAGCGAGCCATAAAGCTCATGCACATGAGCTGGCTTAATTGTTTCATCTCCATGGTAGACGCCTTCTCGGGCATGTTCCATCATTTGTCTTGACTACCAGCCATCAGCACTGATCAGCGCTAAGTATAGCCAAGCAATGCAGAAATCGAAACGAGACTTCAACCAGCATTGACTTGACAAATGGCTACACACGAGATGCAAGGTGCTATGAATTGGCAAGGCATTTAAGCAAGCACCATACACACAAAGATTATGACTGCGACCACTATCTGGCTCTTTTTGTGTGGAAGTGTTTGGGTGCGTTTGGATGGACGTTGCTTTGTGAGCGATGTTCGTTGGAAACTCGCGGTGTCTCCACCACGACGGTGGGGTTATGATCTGGGTGACGTCTACGGCCCGGGCTCGTCTGCAGAAGGGTGATGAGCCACAGCCGTTTCGGCGGTCAGCCAGGGCCCCGGTGCTCATGGCGATGCCCAGGGGCCTTGTCTCCTGGCCTGGTGTGAAGGGATGGCACCCCCCCCCCCCCCCCCCCCCGAGGATAAAAATAACGCCGGAACACAGTGTTTCGGTATCCTGGCGTCTGGGGTTCCGGTGTCCACAACGCACGGTGTGTGGTAACGGACACGGTGAGAGCATACGCGAGCCCGGTACAAAGGGGAGGCTCCATCGGTTACTCCGGCACTAGCTTCACCGGGCGAGCACCAGCCACGCGACGCGGCGCTAACGGCCAGCTACAGCCGCCCCCCCAGCGCGAGATACATCACAAGCACCAGCCTAATTCGGAGCCTTGGCTGCAATCCAAACACAAGCTTAGCACGTCGGTCCTGACACCACCCCGCCCTGACGCCAGCTCTATCCCTAATGCCACATCAAACTTCCCCTTAAACCCAAAAACAAGCCCTAATACCAGTATGAACCAAAACACTAGCTAACCCCTATCAAACCAACAGCCCTACCAGCAAGCCCTGATAGTCCTTTTAACCCAAACACTAGCCCTGATAAAACCAATATCCCTAACACGGACCCCGACTCAGCCGAGTACAATTCACCAGCTGACAAAACAACGCAAGAGGAGCAACAGCAGCAGCATCGCTCCGCTGTGGTGTAGAATGACATTACGCCACTTTTATCCAACGTTCATCAGACCCCTGCGAGCGATGTAATGTGCACGCGAAGAAGTCTACTGTATTCTTTAGCGACGGGCAACGCACGCAAGCCTAATCTGCAACTGGAGCTAAGAAGAGACAGCCTCAGCTTGAGCAGCAAATGCGTGCACAGTATATTGACGCATACACAGAGGGCTTCGCATACATGAAAGTACACGTGTACACACACAGCTACATAGAGGGTGCATACAGAGCTGCATATATTCAGCATGCACACATGTACACGCACAGCTTCATATACACAGCGTGTATGCATAATACACACAGCTGTATATACACAGCAAGTATATGTGTACACACAGCTGCACTTAAGAGGATATAGACAGCATGTACCTATGATGTACTGCATGTATGAGATGTGTATGCTAAGCACGCACACGGACAGTTTAGGATTCTGCCGTAGTTTAATGGTTAGCCCATTGGACTTACAATCCAGAGGTCGCTGGATCAATCTCCCAGCACAGCAGTTGAAACAATGGTGCAAGTTCTCTAAATTACTCCCAACCCACCCCCCCCCAACCACCTCTGTCCACCCGGAAGTAGAGACGGGTACGCCAGTTAATGGACTCTGCGGGTCACGTGTGGTGGTGGGGTAAAATGTGGCTACTTTCAGTTTTCATTTATTTGGTAAAGCCCTGTGAGCCATTCGGCTCTTGAATCGGGTGCAACCGCAACAAACACAAAAACATGAACAAGAGAACATCTTCAAGTGACTATGCGCAAACAGAAAAATCCAGGAAAAAATAAACTTTTTTCCAGAAAAAGCACCGTACACCAACGCTGTGTGCAAAAATCCCAGTGGGATGCAAGTCAAACAACAACAACAACCACAAGACAACTTAGATTAAAGCCATACTCCCACCTCTTCCATCACGTCTGGTGTGTAAAACTAGGCAAAAATACCCTCTAGAGGGATTCTATAGAGCTCCCTCGGTCAGTATTGCAGTGCAGTCGTTGCAGGGATGAAACTTTACCGCTTTTACGAACTGATTCATAATATTCATAAATTGAACTTTACTGCAATCGACATTCAAGCCATTGTCACAGCGGCAAAGTTACGTTTCACAGTCTGCGGCGGTTTCACGGAAGGCGAGCGATGTCATCCCAATAGACTAACTTGCAGGCCATTGTTTTTGTTTATTTCTTTTGGGCGAACTGGACCATGACGCCGGCACGCGATGGCCCACGACTCGTTCCGAATGACGTCGGGGGATCTTTAACGTCTGCTCCGAAGCGGAGCGGTGCGCATTCTCTGCTCAATACGGTACAGCCCGCCGCATTTGAGCCGTGAACCTTCGCAACAAGTGGCGAGCACGCAACCGCTAAGCCACGTCGCCGCCCTATGTAATATACACACGGTGAACGCAAAGCTTAATTTATATAGCATGCATCAGAACTGGAGTCAATAAGAATTACAATTGTAGCACTATCGATGGGGCTCAAATCACATTCTCACTACAATTCATTAGGAATATTACGAGTACAAAATACTCGACACCAGGTCTGCAATGTGGATGCACGCAACTTCACGTACACATCATGTACGCCGACATCGTGTGCCCATACAGTATAGAGCTTAATGTACACAGAGCACGTACACATACAGCATGAACACGCAGCTTTTGGTACACAGCATGGAATTATACAGCATGTAACAACACAGCTTCATCCACACAGCAAGTACACATATAGCAGGTACACATATAGCGTGGAAAGAACTTCATATACGCCAAGAGATGCATGTTCCACATACAAGACCACGATCCCCCGTATAGCCTTAACAGACTGTAGGGGCAAGTGCTGTTAGCGAGCACCTATGAAGGCCGGAACGGTACACGAAAGGGTGGGTGACCAACACCACGCCCGACCACCTTTGTCTCCCTAGTGGCGACGTTTACACACCATACCAGGTAATCGTTTGAGGATACATATACGTGGCACATACATAACACGAACTAGCAGTGGTACCTTGCGATCCAGTGTTTTGGAGGCAAGAGTCGGCGGACAACAAACATTCACGAAAAGCTCAAGTCCACAAAGACTGCGAGGTGGCCACGATGTAAGCAGTAGAGCAACTGCGTTCTTAAATCCCTGTGTGTGAGCTTTTAAGTGTTTTCACCCGATATAGGTGTACGTGCTCTTTCTTTCCATATGCAAAGTAACGAGTACATGGAAACGGTCAAACGTCTGAATTCAGAACCCTCCTGAAAAAGTCTTGAGACTCGGGCAAGGGCTTTTCTGGTTAAAAGGACATACAGGCATTAGCCTGATTGGATTGCGCATGCAGGGACCCTAATGGGGGGCACAAGAGCCGCTCTTATATTGTAGTACATGTATGTTATACTATACACGTATGTACGCATGTTGAACCTATTTCGCCGCCCTACGTAGCCAACCGTGATAATTAATCGGTGGTGCAGCAGGACATCAAAATATACAGTCAAAATCAAAGTGAGTTCCTGGTCAAATGAGCATTTAGGTCGTGCTCTTTAAGCGTGCTGATGTTTCCCGTTTGAAGCCTTGAGCCAGCGATGACAATTCCATATTCCTATGGCGGGGGGTGAGTATAGGATAACCACTTTTGACTTTCCACCCACAAAAGTGGTACATTTTTTATCCGCGTAGGAGAAATGACGTTCTGAGTAATCATCACCTGACCGCGGCATTTAACATTAACAGAACGTGGGCACGTACAGGGTAGCACCAGCCACTGACCGAAAGGACATATACTGACCAGCAGACAGGCACACTCAAAGACGCATGCATGCACGCATTTATTACCGGGTATCAATACCGTTAATCAGCCCAGCATATCGACAGAGATCGGTGGACTCATTTGTTTGACAGAACGATCGGCAGGTTGATTATAACAATATCGACAGGGAGTTCCTCCGGTCGACACTAACGGTAACCATATTTACCTTCACAATGGTCGATATACTGACCGTAACACCGCTAGACTCTACTAATAGGGGTTTTCCCCTTTTTTCTGGCAACAAAACTGACACCTTTTGCAAGGAATCATGTTTACATTAACCACAATACTTGCAGTCAAATGCAACAAAAAAACAATACCCTGATAATTTATGCATTGTCCTTGAAACTGATTGATCCACACCAGAGACAGCTTTCTTTAGAGCCTAGTCTCATATGATGTTCGACCAGATGACGCCAAGTATTGTTTTTGTTTGCATTTGACTGCAAGTATTGTGGTTAATGTAAACATGATTCCTTGCAAAAGGTGTCAGTTTTGTTGCCAGAACAAAGGGGAAAACCCCTATTAGTATATTTTGGTACTGGCAAAGGAGGTCCCATGATGCAACCGCTAGACTCATCAACATGTCAATAGACATCATGACGAGTATCAGACCGTAAAGGAAACCGCTGTAGTTACGCGCTCATTCAAAGGAGGAATATCAAAACTACACCAACTCTCTCCCTAAGTCCTCTCCGTCGTGGCTACCAGATTTTGCTCGACATTGGCATTTTAGCTATTGGACACCAAGGGTGGCACAGTCGGTTTTTTAACATAGGGTTTAATTGTCTTTTTATATTAAACCCGGCCATCTGAGATTGGGAGAAATCCGGTTTAATTGGTTCTAATTGCAGAAGCGCACTTCGCCAACTTCTCAACGATGGGCTTCATCCATTCCAAGCGAAGGAACTCACTGGCGCCCACGATTGTGGAGGAGAAGCTCATCGTGTTCATCAAGACCAACCTGCCCGCCGCATTCTACGACTACCCCGTGCCCGACGGCCCCCCCGAGTACGATAGCAGCACCGACGAGGAAGCAGCCTAAGCCTTGGACCAGAGTTTCGTATTCATTAAACCAGGTTGTAATTCCCCGAAATCGGGTTTAATTGTAATAAAGAAAAAACCCGATGCCTGCCGCTGGAAAAATCGGGTTTTTTTCCACCCATGTTGGACACAAGCATAGAAACCAGTATCGTACCGACCGGATGAAACTCCGACTGTAATATCGGAAACCACTTAACCGATATAGAAGTTTACACTCCACTTAGCGACAGCTCCGTTGACGCATTCAGTAGGTTGTCATATCGGCCCTAACAGCGGCACACGCTCGCTCACCAGCTAAACAACAACCGGCAAAACGTATCAGAACCCCGACTGATGCACAACACCGACAGTTTGATCAGCAACACACACACACACACACACGGTCTGTCACGCTGCCCCCACAGACAAACCATCAGTCCCGGTGGACACAAGTGGCGTGTGGCAGCAATACCAAGAGGCACTGAACCGGCCAGGATGACACCGACCCGGAATCACACCGCCCCGTCTGGTACAACACCGTCCGGTGGTAGACACACTGGCCGAGAAACATACCGACAGGCAGACTGCACAGTGTACAAACTGACCGGCAGGCATGCCGAGGAACCGGTAGGACACCGACTCACAAAAGACGACCGCCATAACCAGTCACGGGCAGTACGAACCCGCCCTGCCTCGCTAGGCCCGAGTGCGGGCCAACGACGCCGCTCGGATAGTTTCCCTGCCGGGCGCGACGAGGGTGAAGCCGCCCGGGGGGCTCAGCCTGAGACGCGGCGAGCGCTAGGCCCGATTCGCGGCGCGAGCGGACGCGCCACACGGACGCAACGGCGGTCGCCACCTTTGGCCTTGTCGGTGGGGAAGAGCTTCTCGGCCTTTTGCAGGAACTTGAGCGCCTTGTCGCGCTCTCCCGCGCGCAGCGAGCGCTCGGCGATGTCCACGCAGCGCGCCGCCTCGTCCCGATTGCCGTCCATCTTCCCGCAGCGTCACGTACTCGCAGCGCGCATGCGCGACACGAGCCCCCACCTCTCGCCCCCCCCCCCCTAGCAGATCACGCGAGTCACGTGACTCCCTCCACCCAACGCCCCCCCCCCTTCCTCCGCCCCCCCCCCTTCCTCCGCCCCCCCCCTTCCGCCTCCCCCCTTCCGCCTCCCCCCACCACCGCCTCCCCCCCCCGCCTCCCCCCCCGCCGCCTCCCCCCCCACCTCCCCCCACCACGGCCTCCCCCCCCCGCCTCCCCCCACCACAGCCTCCCCCCCCACCTCCCCCCACCACCGCCTCCCCCCCACCTCCCCCCACCACCACCTCCCCCCCCACCTCCCCCCACCACCGCCTCCCCCCACCACCGCCTCCCCCCCCACCGCCTCCCCCCCCCCACCTCCCCCCCCACCACCGCCTCCCCCCCCACCACCTTCCCCCCACCACCACCGCCTCCCCCCACCACCACCGCCTCCCCCCCACCGCCTCCCCCACCACCGCCTTCCCCCCACCACCACCGCCTCCCCCCCACCGCCTCCCCCACCACCGCCTCCCCCCACCACCACCGCCTCCCCCCCCACCGCCTTCCCCCCACCACCACCGCCTCCCCCCAACGGTGGCGAGATGTTAACTACCTCGCCTGGCATGCAGGTCGTGGGTTCGATCCCGACCTTGACGCCTGCTGTATATTTGAAGTTTGCAGTGTCTCTCTCCCCGTGTTCGCGTGGATTTCCCCTCCACACTTAGAATGAATATGCGCTTAACGTATTGAGCTGCTATAATTTTACACATAAGCCACTTTGGTGAGTTTTCATTTGTGGCCAGGTTGCTTCTGAAAAAGATAGCTGAGTGGGCCTTACCTGGTAAAATTAAAGTTCCGTGAAATGGTTCGCTAAACCGTTGTGGATACGAATTCAATCACCAATCCGCCTGCTTCACACAACTGTCCCTCCACATTTAAACTTTTTTTACACATCCCACCGGCTACATAGATGTGTGTGTGGCAACATTATTTCAGAAGCATTGGCTTGACACACGGTGCGTGAAGCTTCCAAAATTTATGGCCTGCAAAGTGTCCATGAGATGGCAGTACAGCAAGACTGTCAACACGCCTGTACGAGTGTGATTATACAGGTGGGAACAACAGGTTCCACACTGCCCACCAGGGATTATTTGTCTGTCTGTCGTGCATATTTGTCTGTCGTGCACGAATGCGCTGTCCAACCTAGTTCCTACCTGCCCACTCCGAAGGAACGCGTTTCCCTTGTGTGGGTGGGCTTTGCCCCCATATGCTGCAGTGTACTCAAGTGTCCTGCCACACGTGAAACACTGAAATAAGATTGTCCAAATAGACAATACATGGCTCTCCTAAAAGTCAGTTTACCACGTAGGTTTTCCCGACCAATCGTATCCATAATAAAGTTGTTTTGGGTTAGATCGCGTAAATATAAAAGTCGATAAAACCGCCAGCACCCGAAACAGCCAATTGGCAAGGCTTGTCACGTCAACAAAACATGGCAATTAGTAACTAGACCAGCACACCACGTGTGTTGGATAGTAACCCTACAAGTGATGGAACACGCATCGATCCTCTTCATTAGTGTTAAGACGCCAGGTGAGGCTCTTGAATAGATAAATGACGATGTTACCATGGTTGCATGTTAACACGCGCGCACACACACAAAGCACGCCGAGCCCAACACACGCACGCAAGCACAGGCAACTTTATCACACAGCTTTATTGCTTGCATTCTGACCTCCGCGGAGAGAGGAGGGGGAGGGGAGGCAACAACAGGCAGACCCACGGTGGATGGCACCGCCCAGCCCGATCCGGCCCGACCCCCACGAACTCGAGACGAAGGCTCCAGGCTCTCGCATGCAGCCATGGGACCATGAGCACCAAACGACCAGAGCAGGGGACCGAAGTGGACTCCAGCATGAATACTCTTGTTGTAGTATTACACCGCACGCAACACACTCTCGGCCACGCAAACGCCACGGGCGAGCTCCGTGCCGTCCAACAGATGTTTCACAGAGCAGCGGTTTAATATAAAGACTGCTTCGTTCAATAATGGTGATGCGACCAACTGCTTGTCTTTACCCGAACACTACCCATCCTCATGGTCCCCCAGTTATGGGCAAACCCAATACCACGCCTCGTCAGTCAGTGAACCAAATAATTGGCTGCGCAGGTATTATTCACGTAAGCATTTTCACTACAACACTCATTCAACTCCTGATGACCCACCCGGCTCGCAATTCCACGCGTAGCATCGCCAGCGCAAGTCCTTTTTAGACAAAGCAAACATTTCAACCCAACCGTTTCAACCTAAAACTTATGTTTTTATGAAGTCAACTGCCTGAGATGGGTTATAATTTGTAGAAAGGGGCTGGTCTTAGATCAAGTTGTGGTTTCACAGAAACGGTGTATTCACAATGGTGGCACAAACATCGGCATGTTTCCCGTTGGTTTTTTCTTTACACGACTTTGCTCAGCCGAAGTGCCTGGATAAAAAGGGGCTCCCAAGGATCAAGGTGGGATGGCCCATGTGAGTGGTGGACGTGCGAGTGTCCACGTGATCCGATCATCAACCACATAAAACACCTAACGTGGATATTTCACCCGGTCACTTCAATCCGTGCAAGGGTAGAACATTCACGTCAGGTGCCCTCGTGCATTGGGGCCAGTGACACCTGCAGGGCCAGCATCAATGTGCCTGGGCAGAGGTGTTTCGGGGTCATAAGGATTCATCCATTACCGTTGAAAATTACACTCACGAAACCCGCATGGATTTGTGCGTGAAGGAATGGATTTTTTATCATTCATGCAAAATACATGCCAAAGAGCGAATGGGATGAGTCGAGACGGAACGAGGCAGCCAGTACAACGGAGGACTTGACAATGCAAACAAAGCAGTACGAACAAGACAGACAATACGCACACTTCAAACCAGTACAGATGAGACAAAAAATAATCAGTTCTTGAATTTAATACTGTTTCCAAATCGTGAAAAATCGCTGAGGGTGGTATTGAATCATTACATGCTCAATGGATGTCATCACACGTCCTCCCTAAATATTCTCACCCCACCGCAGTCCCACGCATGGCAATGGAAACTGCAGCAAGGCCACAGCCTCTACGTATATGCAAAACGCATCAGCAGTTCCAGATGCACCATCAATGTTTTACATACACATGGAGGCTGTCGCTTCAAACATGTGGGGTGTTATTTGAAAGCTACGGTTTTCCGGCCTGCACTTATTCCATTACGATTGTGTTTCCCCATAATTTACGACAGATTGGACCATCTTTTAGCAACGACAGTTGAGACGACTCCCATTGACACAAGATAAAGACTTCGGAGTGAAACAATTTTGACTAATTATGTATACATTTGAAAACTAGTTCCTTTCAGTTGGGCCGTGATGAACTAAATGTGAGAGTTTCACAGTTCTATAGGACCAGTTTGGTAAGTAATCAAACCCAATGAACGGAGGTTGGCCTCGCAGAAGAGGGTTTTCATTGTTCTCAAATTGGATCATTCATCTCCAAGGTTGAAGGATATCACCTGATTGACATTAGTTGCCCTAAACCGGTTTGATTGAAACATTGAACCAAAAATTCGGTAACCCCAAACTGGTTTTAAGCCAAAGATTGTCAAATCGGTTTCACCAACGTGGATTTACAAGTGTAGTCAATTGTTGCACTAAACCGGTTTACTGTCCTTCGTGCAAACAGAGCTCTCGTGTTGCACAACGCCAAGCCCACTGACGTAAAGACCGACGCTTCTCAACGCATGCAGCTCAAGGTAAATTCCAGCCCACGGTCCCAAACCAATGGCCAGTGCACATACATCACCCTAAATATCAAACAGCCCACAATACGAGCCGAAGCTCGTCTCGAGCAAGATACACACCAAGACGGTGTCTCTTGGGCTGCCCAAGACGGGTCTAAAGCGGACTAGCTCAGTGGTTAGCTAGCAGAGCAGTTTGGTTTCTGGGTTGTGTAATTTTCTTGTTCTCTTTTAAAGCAAAATTCAATTAATGAATTTCATGCAGCATGCAACAAAAAATTTCACTTGGGGTAATGGGGTGGAAAAACATTGCTATTTTGACAGAAAAAAAGCAAAAATATTCATGAACAATTAGTTTACCAATTCTCTTTCATGGACCATAGATAAATGGGTAGATTTAGCCATCTCGAGTGGTGCGATAATCCTGTTCTGGCCCATGTACCTATCACCACGGCTAATGATTGAACCTGCCCATGGTAAAAGTGGTCCTGGAACCAAAAAAGTGGAGAAGTGAACAGAGGGTCCTCTGGTGACGCACTGAAGGTGGGATTGAGTAGGGATCGTATGCGGGTTTCGTACTTGTGGCTAGTTGGTTCAGGTAATGGGCCATCATTTCGTATCCATCATGCCAACTTAGATCAATAACGAGCAATTGTGGGCAAAGGCCTACCCACGGCAGTCGGTGATGGCAGGGTTGTTGCTGTTGCTATGTAAGGTTTTAAGAGGAATTGCAGATTACGAGTAATCTGGCAGGGCCTGCGACGACTACGCTTCCTCCGTCGGTGTAAGGCTAGAATTTGGTTGGCTAGTGTGCTTTGCCCACATCCTGCGTGCATCTTACACAAAAGCCCTTTTCAGAGATTGCCATTTCTGGTTGTTAACGTTACATGAACACTCCTGTCCAACTATGCAATCACGCGGCACGTGCAGTTATAAGGTTTATTTGTTCCCATTGGTCACCGCAGTCGAGCGTGAACACACATGCGAGGCTTAAAACAAAAGAGTAATTTGGGGTTGCAGCTACCCCAGTCGAGACCACACGCACGAGTCTGCATTTGTGGCCCGAGCGTGACCAGTGGCGCATGACCGAGGTGACTCGCAGACCAGTCTAGCAGCAAGAGCCTCGGGGAGTTCCTCCGACCAAAGACACCTTCAAGTACTCTCAGCAGCGGCGGCCAAGGCAGCTCAAAGCATCACGAAAACGTGCAGAGGGAGC